AGAGAAAGGAGGAAGGAAGGAGGAAGGAAGAAAGGAGAGAAAGGAGGGAGGGAGGAAGTTTAGTAAAATAACAGAGAAGGAAGGAAGGAAGGAGAGAATTGAGGAAGGAGGGAGGGAGGGAGGAAGGAGAGAAAGGAAAGAAAAAACAAATGTCGGAATCGCAGCTCACCCCATCCATGTGGCTGGCGATTTCCAAGATCCGCGTTCGAGTCCGGTTGAGGTTCGGATCCAACTTGAACTGAAAGGCGGAACGATTGGTGTCAGGAGTGGGATAAACATGGGAGTTTTCAGCGGGGCTCCCTAGATCTATCCTAGGGGATTCCTGCGGCTTTGAGGGAATCAAACTTGCACCTAGGGTGTGAAGGTGGGGCGAGCAGAGGGGGAGGGAAGAAAGAGGGTCTTACTCGCTGAGATCTAGCCACATGAGAGTTCAATTGACACTTAACTATCCCTTCAATTCTGGCCCTGTAATATATTTTTTGTTGTGGTTCCCCTGCAGATTTCTGCCAGAAATGACTTGATAAGCCTGCTCCCTCCCCCAAAATAAAATAATTGGGTCTGGGGGCAAATTGGGGAGGGTAGAAAAAGACAGTCCTCACCTCGGCGTGGTCGGCCACGATCACCAGCTCCACGTAGCCACGTTCGATCTCTGCTTCTCGCTTCACCTAACAGAAAGCAGATAATCGGAGTTGGAAGGGACCCCATTTTGTTTTTCTGTACTCCGGAGTGAAACATTTTTTAAGGCGTTCGATTCAGCCCTACCCGTTTGGGCTCCAGAGGTGGGGGAAAGCGTCGGCGCCGCGTGCAAACCCCGGCGGGTGGTTTCATTCCTTCGAGTCGGTAGGCCCTCATCTGCCCATCTGGAGTAGACTCCAAGCTGTAGCTTCGAATCCAGGAGATGGTCAGGAGACCACTAGGTGATCGAGAGAGAGAGAGAGAGAGAGAGAGAGAGAGAGAGAGAGAGAAAGTCATGTTTAAAAGTGCAATATTTTGGATTTCTTTGGCGTTCAGGGTGATGAATTTGCTCAAATTTTGGGGGAAATGCGCCCGAGAGGCATGCTATTCAGTCAAAAATTTGGCGTTCGCCTCGCCTGTTTACTTCTTTTCCCTGCTTTTCCTTCCGGGTCTGCTGGAATGGGGGAAAAAATGGGAATAATTTTGCTTTGGATGGAGATTTGTTTTTGTTTAAAGTTCTTCGAAATAGACCAATCAACACGATCCGATCGCAGCGGGGCCGCTCGGCGCATCGCTGAGCCTCGGGGGTCTCTGCAAGGCGTTGATTTTGGATGGCTTCAGGTGAGTGCTGCAGGATGCAACTACTGGTTGGGGATTATGGGATTTGCAATAGGGCTGTCCCCTGGATGATCAGCAAAAGGTGGCGTCCCAATGCCTCAGGAAAAGCAAGGGTAGAAAGTGAAAGTGAAAGCAACAGGAAGGGGGGAAGGGAAGGATAAAAGGACAGCGGAAACAAACCACTGTAGCGAGGAAGGAGAAAGCGAAAGCAAAGCTTGGCGAAGGGAAGGATAAATGAAAGGGAAAAACGAACCCGGAGAAGGAGGCAAAAAGTGAAAGCGAAAGCGAAAGTGAAGAGGGGGATAAAATAAAATGGAAAACGAACAAGGAGAGGAAGGAGAAAGCGAAAGCGAAAGCAGAGGGCGAGGAAGGAAAGGGAAGGACAAAATGAAAGGGAAAGTGAACACGGAGAAGAGGAAGGAGAGACTGACAGCGAAAGCGGGGGGGGGGATGAGGAAGGGAAAGGAAGGAGAAAGTGAAACCGAAAGTGAATGTGGAGGAGAGGAAGGAGCAAGGGAAAGCGAAAGCAAAGGGAGGGGAAGTAAAGTGAACATGGAGGAGGAGAAGGGAAAAGCGAAAGCGAAAGTAAAGGGAAGGGAAGGGAAAAGGAACATGAAGGAGAGGAAGGGGAAAGCGAAAGCAAAAGTAAAGGGAGGGGAAGGGAAAGTGAACATGGAGGAGAGGCAGGGAAAAGCGAAAGCGAAA